AGCACGCCATTATCTTTTCTCCAATCGAGCGGCTTCACGACAGAAAAGAAAACGGCGGGAGCTCGCACTCGCCGGAACCGCGATGCTCGGCGTCGGAGCCCGGAAGTAGACGACATGCAATAAAATGAAAATGAAATAAAAATGAGAGAAAACGTTTGATCTCCTCCCCCTTCTTTCTTTTTCGAGTCGTTTGGGCTTTGGTTTCTTTGCCGCTTGCTGTTTACTTTTCCAACAAACGGAAGAAGGGGGGCGGCAGGGGAATATCCCGGACGGCTTATTATTCCCTTTCGGCCTTCCAGAACCGAGCGAGCTGGATCGGGTTGCGTGTGAGCACGGGACGGAGGGAGGTTTCGTGCGTGGCTCGGATACGACACGACCCGAACATGGCGTAGCGATCCGATCCCCCCCGCCCCAAACCCCCACCCCAACACGACCCCCGGGAAATCGTTCGTTGTCGCGCAGTTCTGACGATTCCGCGAGACGAGACAGACAACATCGGACTTCTTGGTTCTTTCCTTGACGACGCCCCCCTTCCGTTCCCTCTCCCTTCCCTCGCTCCACGTTAACCCTCTCTCTCTCTCTCTCTCTCTCTCTCTCGCGCGCGCGCAGGCGGGGCTCCGCCGTTCGGCTGCTCGGGGGCTCCCGAATCTCGTCCTCCGCCGTCGCCGGTCTCCGGTTTCAGGTGACCGCCGCCCCCCCCCCTCCCTCCCTCCCTGTCTCTCTTTCTTTCTCTCTCTCTGCGTTTGCGCGAAGTGGGTCGAATTGGGTTTTTCGCTGGAGGGTATTGGGCCATTTCTTGCGTGCTGTCTCGGGTGTTTATCTGCTGAATGCTTCGGCGGTTGCTTTCCCACCCGGTCACTTATCGAGGGTTTTGATTGTGGCGTCGGGGTGGTTTCTTAATTTCCCGTTTGCCCTGTTCGTCGCGTGAGTTGCGGGGTGAATTGGATTGGATTGGATTGATCGGTGGGTTTGGGGTGGAATTAGTGAGTTCCGATCGGTGGTTAGGTTTCAGGGCGCATTTTTTTATTGTCCTCCTTAGTGGTGATGAGCATCGTTGGTTCTCGGCATCGTTGGCTGTGTACCGGTTGTTCTCTGAGGTGCGAGGTCCAAATTATGGTTGTGCATGAGTTAGGAATCGGAGGGTGCTGATGGAATTGTGGGAAAGAATGACACTTGGATGATTTTAACACTGAATCGATCTCGCCGCTGTTATTGTTGAACTAGAATTGATTGAACTAGCCCCACCTGGATTGGGATGCTTGTTTATGAGAGTCATCTGAAGTGAGCATTGGGGTTCCCTTGTTTACCTTTTGCTGATTTCTTTTTTTTTTATTGAACTCTGATGGAGGGCACTGCATGTGAAATTTTTTGCCGAAAGCATGAGTGCCCATCTTGAGCTGTTTGGTTGTCTAATTCGTGAGGGTGAAATAGAGAAACCTTCTGTTAGGTTGCCTTGAAGTTGATTAAGCCGTTTCAAATCATAGAGAATTTACACATCTATACCAATTCTCATGTGACATTACATGGCGTCACCCATGGCGCAGACATGAAGACGTTAAGCCTTTCTAACAGAAAGTTTCTGCTAATAAATGAAATATATATTGCTGGTCGGACTTTTGCAATACTGTGGTATATTAGGCTCTTTGCAATTTATATCTGTAGAATTGGCTTATATAGTGAAGCGGGAAATCCTCATTGGGAGTTGGAGATTGTTGATTGGGTGAGATTGTTTCCCAGATCTAGTTTTCTTCCTTGAGATGTAGGTTGAACCTCCTTGTGCATGGGTTAGTTTAATGCGACCATGGAGCTTGTCTAGATCCAACATTGCTTAAATGGTGATGGGGGCTCTTGTATATTGATTAAAGTAGCCAAAACCTTTAGTTCTTCCAGAGGCTACCAAACTGTGTTGCTGGTTAGCGGTATTCTAGGATTAAAACCTTCGTATATTTGCATTTGGATAGAGTCTGGTGTCTATATCTGTGAAGGACTCATCTGCTACTCAAATCAAGTTTGAGACTTTGTTGTCAGACTTCCAAATTGTAAAAAAAATCTATAAGAATTTTGAATGCGGAAGAAAGTGTTTGAGGGCAGTAATTGCTGGAAATACTGCATCAAGGTTAAATTTTCATTGATTCACCCATTATCACGTTTACCTGTGAAAATTTTGCAATCAACAACCACTGTGATATAGCTTACAAGAATTATGACTCTCTGTAGTGGATACAAGTTGCCGAAGCTAGGTCATGGTTGTTGTCCCCACTATAATATAGAGGCTGGCAGAGCTTTTTGTTTGTCCACTGTTATAATAACCTTGCATCTGGACCTTATAATTACTTCCAACAATATTTAAATCTGAATGTGACTATGATTTCTGATGACTGCTACAGCACAGTCATTATCCTTTTATATTGAGTTGTTTTTTTCCACAGCTCTCTAATGGCCAGTTTTGTTTGATTCGCGTTGTCTTTTATAAACAGTGAAAGGAAGTGCCTTTAGGTATTGGAAAAATAAAGACGGTGAAGAACTATTACTTGTCAGAAGCAAGGCAGTTTCCTGAAGATTAGCCACGCAAGTTGTGAAGGCAATCAGACTGACAAATTAAAGTTGGTAAATTACTTCGCTTTGGGAGAGAACTTCTTGTTACATGATATTGTGTTTCATGTCCTAGAAATACCTTTCCAAGCTATGCAATGGAGTAGTATCTCATCAGTAAAAATTTTTGAGTGCTAGGTGATTGTGTGGCTGAACATAATTTTTGGAGTGAAATTTAATTGACAATAATAATTGCTGAAGTTTCTAAGACTGCATAAGCTAGGCATCTTTCCAAGTTATATTGTAGTGGCATTTCATCTTTTGGTATTACATACCTTGCTGGTTGTTTAAAATGAATTTGTGCCGTGATGCGTAAGAATGCCTATTACTTTTCTCAAAATGTTAAGCCAATTAACAGTTTCATGTATATTTAGGTGCCTTCATGTCCAGTTTATGTAATTATTGTATTGTACTTGATCTTTCTTCTTTCTTTTCTTCTATCTGTGCGACTACGTATCCCATTTGTCATGGGTGATTTTGAAATTGATACACATCTTCTCTGGTAAAAACAAGTAAAGTTTGTCGACAATAATATCCGGTCTGAGGATTAGTGTTGTGCATGTTGGTGCTCGGATATAATTTTAGGAAATTAGATGTTCTGACTTCTCTGTATGCTCAATTTCTTCTTATCTTTGCTTCACTTTTTTTTTTTGGGCATTTGACATTCCATCACACTTTTCAATTGAATCTGGATTTTGCTGTCGGAGGAAGTTTACACATTACTTCTCCGGTAGTTTTTGACGGTTAAGGTCTTTTGATATGCTATGCAATTGGACAATGAGATGGGTACGCACGTGGTGATGCAGTTAGACAGCATAAACCAATGTGCTGTGTCAAATAGCTACTAATATTGATCTTAAGTGCAGTGCTTGCTCCTGATTAAGGATGATTATTCACTTTGTTCTTTGCCTCTTTCCTTCTTACCAGATCCTGCCTCATGATAAAATTAGGGAGTTGATGTTTGCTGAATGTATTGTACCTTTGTCTGATGAAGTTGACCTTCCTTCTCTCATTTAAAGCAGATTTGATGTCCTTGAAATTGATGTAGCAGCAAGTGGCTCTTCCATCTTAGTTTGAGTTCTATTATTGATTGCCAACTTCCTATTCAGCATAGAACTTGCTTAGAGTTCCTCTGAATGATATTACTTGTTTGTGTAATTAGAAGATGCTCTAATCATAAACTTTTGGATCAATTTTGGCTACATTTCCAGCGATGGAATATTTAAGGAGCTGTTTGTTATCTAAGGTTTCCAAAGTTAATGCTTCTTATGCTATACTATCATTTCAGCCCTACTTATTAAGTAGCAGATGATACATCTACCTGGTTAATGTTTGTTCCCTGGATTTAGAATGTAAACAATACTGGGAATGAAAAAATGCCATTCAGTATCTGCATGAGAAACATGATAGGTGTCCAAGTCTTTTGATGGGCATACTTAATGACTGAACCTCCCACATGCATGTCAGAAGGAGTATAATTGTAATTTATGATCTAAAGCATGTGAATCACTATGGTTTAATTTGTGGGTTTGTAATATAAGGTGTTTTTCTCTCTGCAAGATATGGACTTTTGGTTTTCACTCTTATGACAGCAGCTGATCCCAATTCATTAATCAGAGAAGAGAAATTAGGAAACTTCCTTATCAGACTTGATAGATTTAATATCATCATCTTCTCATGCATTCATCAGATAGCGAGTGATTTGTCTCGCTGTATTTTATATGCCATTCTGGGAGGCAGTTATAAGTTGCCAGCTTGAATATGTATGAGAGAAGTATTTCTTTTGCACTATAACTGGTCTATAAGTTCCACATATTGGTTTTGCTTCTAATTTTATTCAGCATATTGGTTCCTTTTTCATCATAGCATGAAGATACAGTATACTCTTGCAAAATTAGCAGATTCTATAAATTAATTTTCTCACATGCTTCTTTTTTGAAATTCTTGAACAGCATCTCCTTTGTCAAATTCTTAATCATTTGCTAATGAAGAATAATGATGTCCTTGTGGTGTCGTCATTATAAAACATTGTTCTCAGACTTTGGGCCAGCCAAACTACATACATACCACTGAGAGACCACCAAAGACATCATTTCTTTTTATGTTCCTTCTGATTATCAATTGTTTTGGAGAGTGAGTGTAGTATTGTTTAAAATGGGTCTGAGTAGTATATTTATGAGAGTGAAAAAAAAAAGTTTTTCAGGTTATATTTAGTGCATGGTGCATCTGGTGCCCTGTGATTTGTGCTCTTTCTTTTTGGCTGAAGTGATTCTAGTAATAAACTTGATATATGTTTTGTCCAGCGTTCATGGAAACAGCTTAATAATTGAGACATCATTTCGGTGATCTCAAAACAAGGTGTTCGTGTAAAATCTGTTTCAGAAAGAGTTGTTGAAACAGTTTACTATACCGGCTTGAATTTCTTGTTTCACAAACAAAGCATAAATACTCAGTAAATTCTTTGTACTTTTGTTTTCTTTCAGTTTTAAGTTCGTACAAGTAATTATGATGCCTGTAATGTTTGGATAATTCATGGAAGTGTCAAAAAAGGCATTGAAGCTATAGCAAAGCAGTAGTTATAGTACTACATATCGGAATCTCTGGATATATGTTTAATTTAGTGATATTGAACGTTAAATAGGATTCTTGAGAAGAACAGGAGAATCGTGTATTTATGACGTGGGATTTCTTTCAGTGAGCGCTTGATTTTGTATAAAGTAATGATTTAGGAAGAATGCTTTTATTCTCTCTGTTGTATGGTTTTGGAAGACGTCCATCACTTACACTAGAAGATAGCTACATCTGTTCAAATACTTTCCTTGGTAGCTCACATGTAGCCATTCTTCTACATCTGGGAAAATACGGACTTGGAGGGAAAAGGGCTGTTATTCCTCTTATTTTGTACAAAATAGACTAATTGGGTGATTGGCACTTGATCATGGCCCTGCCATCCGTGCTCATTCCTGAGACTGGGCCACTAGTGGGCTAGGCCATTTCAGATGCATATGGACCCCACCAGATAAAGATACCCAGCTGTCTCAGCTACTTAAAAAAGTTCAATATCTTTATTTTCCAATATTGATTGCTTAGTAGTTTCTATTTAGCTATGCATTAAATTAGGTTGATTGTTACTTTTAAGGTGATATTTTCTTTCTTATTCATGAGTAAGTTCCATATATGCTAGATGAGAAACTGAATTGCCAAATTAAATAGCTGCTTGGTGATCCGAATATAATTACTCAGAAAGAATTTTCTGTAATTTTACTCCCTGTTCAGCAATTTGCTGGTAGATAATGAACCCGTGATTTTGTCATTGGCATAGTTTATCCTTTCATTGCACGTTTGGTATTAGTAACTTTGTTGAAGAATAAGAACCCTTCCGGTTGCCAGAATCTTTTGAAGTGATGTTCAACAATTATCTGTACAAATAGCTGTGATTTAGTCAATACATGGATGCATCTGTATATTTTTACTCACTTGGACTTTGATTATGTTAGCTGATTGGTCAGTGTCATACTTTCTGATAGATCACTTGGAAGTTCCTCCAATCTTGCGACAAATCTGGGGAGTAGAAGAACCAGTGACGGATGAAACATTGTATATTATGTCTGGACTGATTGAAGGCCTTCCAGACGCTGTTGCACTGAGGTGCCTTGCGCGCGTTCCTTTTTACCTTCACCCAAAGCTGGAACTTGTTTCTCGGTCTTGGAAAGCTGCCATACACAGTGCTGAACTTTTCAAGGCCCGGCAAGAAGTTGGCTCTTCAGAAGACTTATTGTGTGTATGTGCTTTTGACCCAGAGAATTTGTGGCAACTCTATGACCCTCTCCGAGACCTTTGGATTACTCTTCCCGTTCTTCCATCAAAAATCAGGCACCTATCCCATTTTGGCGCAGTCTCCACTGCTGGGAAATTATTTGTGCTTGGTGGTGGCAGTGATGCAGTTGATCCACTGACTGGTGACCAAGATGGAAGCTTTGCCACCAACGAAGTGTGGTCGTATGATCCAGTTACAAGGCAGTGGGCTTCACATGCTTCCATGCTCGTACCTCGTGCCATGTTTGCGTGTTGTGCTTTGAATGGAAAAATTGTTGTTGCGGGTGGATTTACCAGCTGTCGGAAATCAATTTCCCAAGCTGAGATGTACGATCCTGATAAAGACATGTGGGTCCAGATACCCGACCTCCACCGTACCCATAATTCAGCGTGCTCAGGTATGGTGATTGAGGGAAAAGTGCATGTACTGCATAAGGGGCTATCCACTGTGCAAGTCTTGGACCATGTGGCTTTGGCATGGACCGTAAAGGATTACGGTTGGCTCCAAGGTCCAATGGCATTAGTTCAGGGTTCACCCTACGTTATGAGCCATTGGGTCATTTTTAAGCTAGACGGGAAAGAGAAGAAGCTCATAGTCTCGGCCCATGAGTTCCGAAGGAGAATTGGGTTTGCCATGTTTGGGTTGAGGGATGAAATTTATGTGATCGGAGGGGTTATTGGTCCCGATAGATGGAATTGGGACATTAAACCACTTTCCGAAGTGGATGTTCTTACAATTGGGAGCGAGAGGCCGACTTGGCGACAGGGGGCTCCGATGACTCGGTGTCGTGGTACTATTCTCGGGTGTGCGCTGTTGAGAGTTTAGGTGAAGGTTGTAATATTTTTTTTTCCTTTTTCAGATGGATGCAATGTGAGATGGTAGTACTCTTGTGGTTGTAGCGTTTGGTTTCTCATTGAACACAAGAGTGTCCTTTTGCCGTCTCTTCATGTGTTTGTGAACCGTAAAATTTTTTGGGTCGCCTATGTTGTTTCATCTGTTGAAAAGCTGGAGTATGCTGTTGACTGATACAAATTTGAATACCAGTGAAGCAGGCAAAAATTTGGTCACTCTTGGATCTTGACCCTTGTGATGTAAACTCGTTTCTTCGCATGTTTTGGCTGATCAGGGCATAAACCTTCAGGTGTGTTATTGTGCCGGTGAAGCCACTGGTGCAATTACTAGGAGTCGGAAGATTTAGATAGGCGATAGACGATACGAGATTATAGGTTTTTCATAAGACTCGAGAGAAATTAACTTAGGCAACTGCACCAGAGGACACTACTGGTAGTTTTGTCTCTCAGCGGTCAGCGTATCAGCGTGTGGATATCGTTTGTGAAACGACATTGTGCTGTGAAGAAAGCTCGACAAGGGAAATGTGTTGCATGATTGAATGCTTGTACTGGTTTGAGGGGAGAATTAATATTTCAAGACGTTCGCCACACACGTTTTGTTGAAACTTTCGTTATTATCTATAGGGTGTTTGGGGTTCTTTGAACACTCGATATATCTTTATCGAGAGTAGCAACCTCCCATGTTCCCTATACAGTGTGTGATTACACGGATTTGTTCTCTTTGAGGTGGCCCCCTTGCGAATCCGTAATTGTGGTGGTTTGAACTAAAGGAGGACGAACCCCCTTGTGTTTCTTGGATTATTATTTCATTTGAGCGAGGAAAGGTTACTTCGTTATGTGGTGAGTTTGAATAAATAATTTTTTTTGCCCTTTATCCGGTGCCATATTTTCTAGAAGAAAGTTTAGTTGAATTTTTTAATGACCAAGTTAAAACTCAGCATTATCTTTCTTTATCCATATTTGAGGTGAATCGATCATTTACGTTGAGTAGATGTCAAAAAAAGAAGAGTCAATAACTGAACATAAATAAATCATTCCTATGTATATTGGAATATTTAAAATAGCTAGAATTATTTGATTTTTATTCTTGTTCAAATTAAGTGGACCTCATTTTAAATATGCTATACTCCTTTATTATTCATTATTTTAAATTCATCTCAAGTTTATTTTAAACGTATCAGGAACATTGAAATAAAAGACATGACCATAAAAAATTATGCTTAATTGTTATTTTGATTATGGTTAATAACACGAAAAACTCTAAACTAGTACACATGTGACAAATTTGCCCCAAACTAATTTTTTGACCATCAAAAACCTCAAAATGGTACATTTGTGACAAATTTACCCTCCGTTAAATTGGATTAATACCACAAAAAATTACAAACTGGTACACCTGTGACAAACGGAGGGTAAAACCCCAAATCGGTACACACGTCAACTGCCATGTGTTATCCAACTTGGAAATTTAGCAGTAAAATTAAATGGAAACTAATGGAAGGTAAGATTGTTACAGATGTACTAATTTGGGTTTTTGGTGGTCAAAAAATTAGTTTGGGGTAAATTTGTCATAAGTGTACCAGTTTGGAGTTTTTCGTGGTATTAACCCTTTTGCTTAAATTAGAGTACAACAAATAGTGTAGAAACTTTGCTTACAATATCGAATTGCGAACACTCAATTATTCTTTATTCTTTTGAAGACGATTCGAGAGCCTTGATGGCTTAATTTAAAAACAAAACATCACGAATTTCGGATCCTCTTCACAAGCCGGACTCGAAGGCCTTGATGGTTTGATATTAGTTGAAGTCTGATGACTTCAACCTATAGAGTCTTCCATTCATGAGAAAAAATGGATAAGAGTACTCGAAGTCCTAAAACATGTCATGAAAGTGTAGTTGAGTCTTAAAATTTTCAAAAAGTGCAATTAAGTCGTAAAATTTATCAAATTGATTCAATAAGTCATCAATTAACTCCATCCAATTTGGCTAACAGAAAATGCTGATATGGCTTTTTTTTATTATTATTTTCTCTTTCCTACGTGGCGATGATGTGGCTAAAATATGAAACATAAAGCTAAACGACGTTGTTTTGGTTCAAATCAGACTTTTTGCTACAAATTTGATTTTAGTTATATTAAAAAATAAGCAAACTTTAAAAATACAAAAAAATAAAAATAAAAAAGAGGAAGATGTAGGCGAGGGCTTGGCGGCCAGGAAGGGCCGGCAATGGTGAGGTGATGGCTCGCCTGCGGTCAATGAGGGTTGCCGACCCTTCCCGGCGATGGTGGGGTAATGACGGCGGCCATCGCCGTTGTTTATTTTAGCCTTTTTGTTTTTTCCTTTTTTGTATTTTTTTAAAGTTTGCTTATTTTTTAATATAACTTAAATAAAAATTTGTATTAAAAAATCATATTTGGACCAAAACAACCTTGTTTTAGTCATGTTAGTGCCTCATAGAATATTGAAAATAATAATAAAAGAAAGCCATGTCAGCATATTCTGTTAATCAAATTTGATGGAATTAATGGAACATTTATTTGTACAAATTTTATAAGTTTTAGTATTTAATTACACTTTTTGAAAATTTTAGAACTAAATTGTACTTTTATAATAAGTTTTAAGACTTCTAGTGCACTTGTCTTGAGAAAGAATGAGTCTTCAAGAAACAAAAATTTTGCAATCTTTCTATGTACCAGGGATATCGAATTAATTGAATGAGCCATGGGGATCCTTGTACGTGAGGCATTCATACTTTTGAACTCAATGAAATATTAATCTATTTTAAATTTAACTTGGATAAATGCCAATTTAATCTATGTAATTGATTGATAGTCTCGAATATAAACTGACAAATTAAAACTCATGGACTTATCTCTTATTTGTTTTTTCTAAAAAAATCTCAATGTCAAATTAAATGGATTTTGGAAAAAAAATATTTTTTCATTTTTATTTTCATTTTATCCAAATATATTTTCTTAAAATGGTATGAAATAAGATATATCTAAAATAAATGCATGTTAAATAGAAGAAAACAAATGCTAACGATATGTAGCATAGATGTTTCTATGTTGCAGTTTTTATTCTTTTATTGTAACCTTTAAACATAGGGAATATAAAGTGATATTTGTTCATGTAATAGAATAAATTTTTGTTCAAATTATCTAATTTTATTTTATTGAATGGTAAACAGTACATTTATTCACATAGTTAACAAAAACTATGCTTAAGATCTTGAGTACAATTCATGTAGTAAGATAGGGATAAGGACATCACAAGTGTTATAACTTTTGTATGGTGTTCACTTGAGTGTCGTAACTTTTTTTTTACCACTTGAGTACTGTGACTTCTAAAAAAACGTTCACTTAAGTGCTACAACTTTCATCCGATTACTTGAGTGCCATAACTTTTTTAAAACGTTCACCTAGGTGCACAAAATCCGATGTGATATAACACTTGTAGTAAATAGTTTTAAAAAGTTATAGGACTTTGGTGATCGATCGAAAAAGTTATATGACACTCAATGATCGAAAAAAAAGTTATGACACTCAAGTAAACACCATCGAAAGTTATGATAATTGTAATATCCTTTTCCCAGTAAGATACATTTCTCTTCTAACTTAATTTCAAAATTAAATACATAAAGGGTGAGTTAGCTATATATCGCTTAGAAAAATTAATCGATGAAAAATATTTTCATGGTTAACATTAATTTATACCTAACTATCTCTGTGGATGATGAAAATATTTTCATTTATTTATTTTGTGAGTGATATAACCAATCATTTTTTGCCAAATATTTTTCAAATATTGAGTTTTTTGTGAAACAAACGCACTCAAATTATATATTTAAAGATACCTTATCATTATTTACTTTGTTGAGATTTAAAATCACGGAGATAAGTTGAACGAGATATATGTTTGCAAAGGAGAATGATATTCAAATTCAAGATATTTTATTTTCATCTTCATCAATTTTATAGGTCAATTACATTTAAGAGTATCTTTGAAGATATTTCCGTTTTATCCATTTTCAAATTTAAGTTTATTAAGTTATATAAATGTGGGGATGGCTGATCAATAAATTAATGCTAATTGGTCGAACATGAGCCATGTGGCACCCAAGGGTGTCAACAGTTCGGTTCGGGTTAAACTGGTCCATTAGGGATGTGCATTTGCTTCAACTCAAACCAAGACCAGAACCAAATACGACCCAAACTGAAAACCTAATTTGATTCGGATTGGTTTGGGTTTCAGTTCCTTTTTTGGATGGGGGCCTTCGTCCTCCATAGGGTAGCGGGAACACTGAAGAGATTTTGCCTTGGTCCCCCGTTCACAGAACCATTACCTGCATTATTGGTTTTCTTTTTTAATAAACATCAAAACACACCTCACCCCCTTATTACCAAATCTTCATACCCGAATATTATTTAGAAGCCTTTACGTACTAGAATTTTGACTAGTGACTTCCTGCTCCTCCTTTGCCCGTGGATATTGGTCACGTCGAGCAAACCGGACCACATAAAAATTCAATATCTACATCCCTCGACTCCCGTTCCGCGATCCCCGTTCCAACAGCTTGATGATAACCATCCTCTCTTGCACAATTAAATAGAGTAGACCTTTTGGTTCTTCCATGGTCAATGGACAATTTTACTATGCATGAGCTGAGTGAATGCACATGATCAGCTGCATGCTCATGATCTATAGGAATGTTTCCATTATTCAAGGAATTAATTGGACATGGAAACACGACAGTGGATTTGGGATCGCATGTGGAAATTGAATTTTTGAAACGAGAGATGATCATGATCAAGAGGTTTGTCCGATGATACTTCACTCCCATTTTTGGGAAAGAAGAAGAGTGAGTCATATGAGCCAAGGCAGGCCTGATAGACATATAGAAAACTGGGCAAGCCTCGCCTGCTCCTGGCAAGGCTCGACCTCGCTGTCACTAGGCAAGATCGGCCACTGGTGAGACTCAATCGCCACCTCAACGCCGGCGGTACCATGTAGGACATCGGGCGTTCACGTCAGTTATTTCCAACTGGATGGACTTAATTGGCAGAATATGAAAATGTTTAGGATTAAATTGACACGATTGAAAGGTTTAGGACTGAATTGACACCAATGCAATAGGTTTAAGACTTTTTTGGTATTTTTCTCGAAAAAAAAAATATACACACACACACATATATATATTTATATACATATATAGTTTATGATATGGAGGCTGTGTTCAATGTGATCATGAATTTTGGTCATGAAAATTGAGGAGTGGTGGGTAAGGGGTGAGTTTCAGTTCCAGTTAGGGGTGTTCAAAAGAACCGAGACCCTAGACCGCCCGGAACCGCCCGAACCGGACCGAACCGGTGGTTCCCAAGGGAACCGATCCGGTTCCGGTTCCAATTTTTGGAACCGGTACTGTTTGGGCGGTTCCGGTGTGGAACCGCCCACCCGGACCGGACCGGTAATATAATAATAATATATTTTATTTTTTAATTTTTAATTAAAAAATCTGACCAAAAATAAAAAAAAGAACAAAATTTGTTATCATGTCTGAAGCTCTTGTGTAGTTGGGATACCTTGGTCATTTTCCCAATAATTAATGGGTACCCACTTGATTTATGAATGACGTGGTTAATATAATCGATCATAGTGTAGGAATTGTATAAAAAGTTATGTTCTTTTCCTTTTGTTGTTGATCCGATGTTGGTCCACAGATTTTTCTGTTATTTGTCTAGGAAAACTTGTTGAGACGGTTCCATGGACCCGCCCAAGAACCGGACCGGACCCGGCAGATCCGGTTCTCGGGCGGGTCCATGGAACCGACGGAGCGGTTCTCGGTTCCAATTTTTGGAACCGGTCTGGGCGGTCCACGGTTTCGGGGTGGGAACCGCCCACCCGGACCATGCACACCCCTAGGTTCCGTATAGGTTCCACTTAGAACCTGGAACCTACCCATAGGAACAAGTTCATCATTTTTTAGAACTTAAAACCTACCATACATATCTTGGAAACTGAAATCTACTCCGTCACAGGTTCCAAAGTCGGTTCCAAGGTCTACACAGGTTCCACCTGTATTATTAATTAAACAATTGCAGTGAATCATCACTTTTAATGACCACTATTTGCTGTTATGATCCACTGACCACAAATTATATTTAGAGATATAAAAAATATGAAACATTAAGAAGTCATAAAATTAAAGTTCAGACTAGTGATTTCAGAGTATATACTCATCATCTAACGTCGTGGAACACCGCAGGATCACGCAAAGACATAGACCAAGAAAAAAAACGTAAAAAACTTGTTTAAGGTTTTAGGTTCCAGGTTCTAAATTCTACCTACCTAAAACCTAAAACCTAAAACCTATTCGTCGAAACAGGTTCCTCAATTTTTGGAACATGAAATCTACATTGTATACCTTGGAATGTAGAACCTATCACCGGTCAGGTTCTCAAATTCTAGGTTCTATCCTAGAGTCATGCTTACTTCTAGTGGTGGGATTGCACGCATCGGGCTGAGAATTTTGGTTGATTGGATGTCTCTTAAAATTGGCGTCATGTTCTCTCTGTCTCTCTCAAAAGGGTTTCATGGATTAGACCAAAAGCCAAATGGGTTTTAAAATAATTTATTCATCATACACACCGAATCTTCTATAGACAACATCACTACTTTTTCGGCTGTCCAAAGTTTCAATCTTCCTGTCCATCTCTATTGTGAAATACTCTTTTTTTTTTTGCCAAAAAGATAAACTAATCAAATATCCCTGTTGTTTTTACAAAATTGAAACAATTCCTGTATTTGAGAAATTGCTCTAACATCAATTTTCAAGTCGACATTGTATGATCGATTCAATTGTGTAAACATGATTAATTGATTAATTAGGTGGCTTTACTGGGTGCACTTTTAATATTTGTTTGTCCAAAAGTTAACGTAGAAGACATCAATCTACAAAATTGCAGGGAACAATTCCTGTATTTTAGAAATTGCTCTAACAACCATTTTTAAGCCGACATTGTTTGCTCAATTCAATTGTGTAAACATGATTAATTGATTGATTAGGTGACTTTACAGGGTGCACTTTTGGTATATACATATATACACACATATATATGTACATATATAGGTGTATCGAAAAGTTAACTTGGAAAATATCAATCTACATAATTTGGTTGGGTCCAACATAGGATTCTCCTTGCAATTTTCCGTTTTCAGAGTCGTCATCAAGCTTTCATGTATACCTGGCCATAAATAAAAATCAAGCTTTCATGTATTAGATTACATTTACATTTCTAATACGACTCTAATACTATGTATTAGTCCAGTTAAAAGTAAGTCAATCATTTCGAGATATTCAAGGGGATTCACAGAATATTTTCTTTCCTTGTTGGTAAACTCATCCCAAGTAAAGATGGCAATTCTTAACGCAACACGATAAAGCGACTCTAATACTATATGAAATTGTTAAGAGAAAAATGCAAATTCTACACGACTTAACTCAAAACTGACACGAATTGATAAGTTTTGACCCATCTTTAATGAAAATGCTCGGTGATCACATTTATCTTCAATAGAGAATAATAATGGACGGACTAGATCTCTTCACATGATTTAATTACAAATTATATACTTTGTGCATGGTTGGAGTCGAATAGAAAAGTAGTGATGGAAGAAAGAATCCTTCATTTATGCACCGTAGAAGATGCCACCGCAAGTGTGGTTACATATATCCGATTCATTGCAAAGCAACAACAATAATGGAAAGAAAAGAAAAGTGAAAGAAGGCATGATAGAAAGAAATAGATTCGACCGTCCTTCGATTATTTAATAATCCATAATTTTACGATTTACTTCAAGTATGATGAGTAACGATTGTGAGTGACATGAGAGTTGATATATATTTATGTCTCACCTGAATTAAAAAAAGAAAAAAGGAGCCCAGTTCAATGGACAGGCATATGCCTGTATAATCTTTTCTTATGAGGTTATCTATGTATTTAATAAATATTTATATATTTATATTTATATCATATGGCTGCATAAAAGACGGTCACAGAAAAAGAAAATTAATTCCTCATCAAACTTCATTGTAACCGTGCATGGACGCCAAATAATTTGCTCGTGTAATGATAAATCACCATTATTACTAATACTATGTTAACACAGCCACGCAGTGAGCACAAAGCGAACTATTCTTTCGCCTTTTACTAAAGAATACCGTGTGCTCGCTGCATATAGTGGCAACCGACTATCTGGTGAAAAAAACTCATCGCATTAGGCCTAAATCCAACCCTCTAAGGAATATTAGTAATCCACAACCGCCACCTTAATTCAAGCAAATGCCTTCATATCACTTGATTATTATTTAGTGAAAAAACAGAAGAGAAATTATTTTTTGCGATTAACTTAATTAATCAACTCGTGCTCGTAAGCACGAGGAGTTTGAATTAAGAAAGCGTGGGACAATAGAAAGAGAAGAAAAGAGAAACCGCCTGGCCTTCCGCGAAATGGATGACTCCTTTAAGGTTCTCTTTGACTCCACCCAATTTTGGATTGTTTTTACGCCATTTAACAACTCACATTTTCGAAATTTATATCCGAAATAAAAGTGTTTTCTTAATTTACGAGGCATTGCAAAAGATATTAAAGAGTAGTTTCCAATGTTAATCTTGACCGTTATTGAAAATTGGGAGTGCTAAACAAACTATTAAAATAAACGGTTGCGTAGTCAAGTTTAAGACTATGACCGTACGGAATTTTACTAGAAAGCGATTATGTCATACACATGTTTTTACTTTATAATAATGTCTCCTGATCATATAATTCTATTCTAAATAAATGTGATTTGCTCTTCAAGATCAGACCAACCAATATTCTAAAGGAATTCTGCTGGTAGGTTGTCCCTAGATCATTCAACAGTGTGTTTGACAATATTAAGCCATGTAATTATTACAACCACGAGACACTAATCGATTTTATATTATATATATTTGACCTTATTTTAATTATGTATATTTACTTTTTTTCCGATTTCTGTACAAAATGCAATTATCAACTCTTGCTCATAACTTTTTTTATGGAATTCTCTTCTTGACATACAAAAGGACATCTATTACTTTGCACATAGTTTGATCATATTTTTCATGAAATAAATTACATGGTTTTATCATAGAAAAAGAGAAGTAATCTTTGACGTGAATTCGCATTCATTTGAAGAGAGAGAGAGAGAGAGAGAGGGTTTGAAGCTGAATGGAAAACCGGGCGAAATTGTTTCCTCATCAAAAGAGTGAGGAATCATTGACAGCGGGTCATTGATAGTGATATTGCCACTTCAATGTGTGACGTTGTGCCTCACTCTGTTCTCCAACTTCTGCACTAAATCAAGTAAATGTTTCGTGATTCAAGATAAAACAAGCATCTTTTCTTTGAGAAAAGTTATGTTGCTAATTCTCAATGCATGTGCTCTGGTCACAAACCTTTCTTGTTATATGCATGATGCTAAAGTCTCGTAAAGATCCGTCTGTTGAAGAATAAATAGTACGCCAGATTGTCGCGCCGCGCTTTTTTTTTTTTTTTTTTGGATTTTTGGGGTTTGCGCACTAAGGAGGTATTTCCGTGTAAGGGTCTCTCCCAAACCATACCTCACATGACGATGGATGGTATTTTCCTATTTAGTCTAAGTTTTCGATTTTGGAGTCGCCACTAATCATTATTGATAGGTTGACTAGAAACCTAATCGGGGTATGGGAGAAATACCATGATTCTACGAACCAGAGATTCTAAGTACGGGGACTTAGTTACACTAATGATCCCAAATCGAGATCCCAAATCGAGATCTCAAATCGAGATCCCTAACGCCCTTTCGGTACCTAAGAACGATACGATGTCTAACGTGTCATACAAGTTTTCGAGGCTTACCCACTAATCCTATCCATTCTAATTGCGGGAAAATCAATCAAGAATTAATGCGCAATCAATGTCAATCAAATCAATCAATCCTAAATTATCTCTAAAAATGAAAATGCACCCAAAAACATCCAAACCCTAATGAAGCCCTAAAGGCTTATTCATTCAATGATTTGTGTCTTTTTAGGGTTTTAGGATTTTTTAGGGGTTATAACCCCTGAATTTGAGGTTTTCTAAAAATGCCACTTGGGCACTTTCAAAAATTCAAATTTCACTTTCCAAGGTTGGCCACAGTGTTTTTGAACCATTCTGTGAATTTTTTAAAATTTTGTATTTTTGATTTTTTTTTTTCGGAAATTGAATTTTTGAGAATTCCATTAACCGAGAATTGATTTTTATGATTTTCTGAAAATTTTTATGAATTTTCCAAATTTTTTAGATTTTCTGAATTTTTTTTCGGAATTTTTATGGATTTTATGAAAATTTTTGAATTTTTATTGAAATTTTCCAACTTTTAAAATTTTTCAGAAATTTTTTTTTGAATTTTTTTTTTTACTTTTTTATGATTTTTTTATTGATTTTTCCAATTTTTTCTTATTTTTATTGAATTTTTTGAATTTTTTTAGATTTTGTTATTATTTAATTTTCCCGCCGAAATGGCGAACCAGACCGGCCCGGTTTAACCAGGTTCGACTTGGCTGAATTGGGCCTCGCTGGCGCCGGTCGGCGCTACGGCGGGCACAACACCAAATCGGTGCCGTTTTTCTCTCTCTTCATTGTGGCATTTCCTCGAACATGTGGTGTGCATGATTCTGGTTCAAATGTTCTCGAGGCCGTCGATTCAAGGTCACCTCTGACGACCTTCCGGCGGGATTTTAACCATTCCAATTGGTATAATGTTGAGTCCATATCATCCTCCAACTATCTAGCCTCCTTAGTTCGTCGTCGGACCATCGCCGGCCGGCGAAAAACTGATCTAAAACACCTAACTAAAAATAGTTCTAACAACTGATTCTACCGTTCGGACCAATAAATCTAGCGCCCTAGCCATTTCTATCGCTCAAAACAATCATCAGAGCATGAATCAAAGTTAGAAATCACTAACTTGAGCGATGATTGGTCACAGAAACGCTCCGGCGAGGTCTAGAAAGCTCCGGCGAAGGTTTTCATGGACGGCCGACTTAGTCAAATGCATAATCCTATCCAAGTTGCAATCAAACAATGTAAAACATGATCAGGAACATGTTTTAGACATCTATAAACTCAAAATCACAAAGAAAATTGTATGATCAAACATGATTGAGCTCAAATACATATTTTGGATTTTTGTCAAAACGTGATTGTAAACGAACTTTACCTTCTTAAATGGAGGTCAAATCTGAAATTCTGAGAGGTAAGAAGGCTCTGGAACGATTCCCCGACGTTTGTTCTTCAAGGTAGTGTTCTTCGTATCACCGAGAAAGTCCCAGATTGCCTGGCCGAAGCTCAGTTTCAGAGCCTCTCAGTCAGCTTTGTCGCAGGTCTTCCGGCGAGGAGATTCACCATCGGGATCGATTTGCCGGGGCTTTTCCGATCGGAAAAGTGCCGATCGCTCGATCTCAGGAAGTCTCAACTCACTCTCTTGCTCGATCTCTCTCCTCTTCTCTCTAGTTCTCTCTCTCTCTCTCTCTCTCTGGAATTTCCTCGAGCACCTTCTATGCACGGATAATGACTCTCTCCCCCTTTTCTAGCTCGATTTCCCACCAAATTCTTGTTACAACTGACCTCCGAATCGGTTATGATGAATAACCGATGATAGCTGGAGATTCTCCAGCTGTTAAATCGGTATTTCACAGATGTTTGTGATGGGATTAAGGCCGGTGAAGTCGTGGGACGGGAGATATTTTTCTAGGTTTAGAGTGTTATAAGTGAGTTGGGTAAGGAAGGAGACCGACCTAGGTCGGGTCGGGTTGACCCGGACAACCCGGCATACCAGGGTTGGTCTAAAATCGCAAATTAAGCCTGATTTTGACCCAATTTTTCAGATTCAACCTCAAAATTGAATTCCTTGGCATATTTTGCATCAAAACATGAGATTTTCCTTAATTTTTGTCACGATTAAACCAAAAATCCCAAATTTCAAAATTCGGGTCACTAGGGTTTTATTAAATCCAGTACCTAAATGACCTGATTGAGCAAAATTGATGCCAAATTTGAATTACCCATGACTGATTAACCCTAGCAACGATGGTCTCATGATTCGACAATTTTGAATTGGGCACAATTCCCAATTTGGGCTCAAAATTCCGAATTTTCAATTGAATTTTGGGGATTTTTTATTTTTATGACAAATTGTGCAATTGGACCGATCATTATGTAATTCAAGGTCCCAGAATCATTTGTTGTGAAGACACTATGACTTAAAAATGACTAGAAAAGATCTAATTGCATTTTTTGTTCAATTCGGGTTTGATTTTGCCCAATTGTGGGAAAAACACATGCCCGATTAAGATTTTCCAAAATTGATGATGCATTAGTGAAATTGAATTTAAAATAAAACTAATGACTATTTTTATGGAATTTTCTGATTCCATTTGCTATTTTTCTTGATTTTCTCACTCATTTTGACTAAAAGAAATTAAAGAAAAATTCAGGAAAATGCTAAAAAAATCATTTTTGGTTTAGAAATAGGTTTCTAGGCTTGGCCAAGATTCCTAATCCTAATTTTGAGACTTTTGAAAATATGAAAAAAAAAATGAGTTAAAAATCAGGTGTCAACACAAATGACGAGACGAGAGTTCATGAAATAGTAGAGGTCCAGTCACTTTTACTATTTGCATGAAAGATGGATGATGAATTTGTTGATCACAGGGAGGAGATCAAGGTGGAAATTAGAAGGAATATTTTCTATATTCGTCCGGTTTCAATTAGTTCACACACTTTTATTTTGTACCGAATTAATTACTCACACGGCACCTGCACGACCTCCGCACAACAATAATAAGTGGAACAACATAAAGGGATCTGAACATATTTGCTCAATTGAAGTCATCATATTTTTTTTTTGTAAGGTAACTGAAGTCATCATATATTTTTTTTTTTGGTCTAAAAAGATACGAGTTGATTGGATATCAAGTGTTCATGAAACTACAACCCGGCGAAGGGGCATCAAAACATAACAGTTCCCATAAAGATTGGGGGGGACGGGCTCGCCAAGAAGAAAATAGAGAATTTGTCCGTTGCGCCTTGGCGACCCAATCAGCAGCTTGATTCGCGGATCGATTGCAATGGGCCACAGTTAGGTTTGTGAAATGGGCCATACGAAGGTGCGCTTCTTTAATAAAACCTTCCTCCTCCCAGCCGACTTCTGTCTGGTCATACAGTTTCTTCAC